ATGAGTATCAGTAGGATATATTAATGCACCCAAGGGAGTATTGCAGTCAGAATTTTTTTTAATTTACAAAAGTTCCTTTATATTTTAAAGTTAATTGTGTGTGACTTTGAATAAAGTTCAGTATTAAATCTGGGAAGATTTAATCTAATAGCTTCATTAAGTATTGACATTATTAATATTATTATAAACATTTATTATTTTATGTGATAAAATTGTATTCTTTCTTAAACTCAAAATACTTATAAACAGAATTATCTTCCCTACTATCAAATATTTTTTAATAAAATAAAAATCCAGTCTACAGAAGTAACGGGCAACTCTGGGGAAGGTAAGGGAAGGTTTGTAAGAAGTTATAAACAGTATAAATAATTCTTACTCTCAGTTTCTATAGAATGAAGAACTTAATAAGCAGGGAAAATAAAATACCTCATTAAAGACCCCTAGATTTATCTCTTTTCTAAGTTTATATTTTTACTACATGATAAAGAAACATTGTAAATTTTAGTGTTAATGTTTCTATACATATCATACCATAACTTGAGCTGTTGAGTAGCATATTTGCTTTTTTTTTGTCAGGATTCCCTCCCTCTCCCCCACCCCCACACACATCATGTCATGTATAGGGTCAAACATTAAGTAACTTAAATGTTTATTTAACGTAATAACGTTTTTGTGCTGTTGTACTACCAAATCTGATATGTGTGCCTTACTCAGATGGGAACTCCACCCTTCATGTTGTGTGTTCTTTTTCTTAATTTTAATAACCCAAGAATATCTTCTTCTTTAAGGCATTTCATAAATGCTTTATATCATTAGTTTATTCCTTTCAAGCTTCTTTATAATTAAGTGATTGGTTAGTTACTTTTTAATTCTCTTATTAAAATCTTTCCTGTAAGTATATTTTGTATTGGTACAAACTATATCCTTTATATTGTCGAGGTAATTAGGTCAAAGAAAGTAAGAAAATATTCAGGGTTTGAGGTATTCTAATTGTTACTTGGTTACTTGAAGTCTGTATCTCAACTTTTTATTAGAAAATGGAGGGAGCTTTATATGAGGGTAGTTATATTTTTATCTCTTAAAAAAAGTTCATAGTTTTGTCTTTATGGGCCAAAAATTAATGAGCATTAAATTAATCTTCCTTTATTTAAAATCTATTTAATGGATTGTCAAATCCTAGTAAAAATGGGTTATCATTCTATAAAAGCAAACAAGAAACATTCTATAAAACCAAAGAACAATCAAAACAAAAACTCTGAAGATTTTTGTGAAGCTGAAATTGGAATAGGAAAGTAGTTAACCACTCAACCTGATTTGCTTTTTTAATTTGCAGTAGCATTTGACATAATTTAAACTTAAATAATTAATTAAGAAATTATGCTGCAACAGAAAGTTTTAAGAACCTTTTATGTAAGTTAGTACAATGCAATTCAAGACTGCCAGAAAACTCTGCAAACTCCTGGACACTGGCTCTCTTCTCTTCTGGCTTCCCTCCTAGTCATATCTTGGCCGCTATCCAGAACTGACAACTTTCACCCAAGAGTGAAGGGAGATTTGTCTCCTATAAGAAGGATTTTTGAGCCATCCTAGATTTTCACATCCAGATGGGCCAGGAGGAGAGATGGCAGTTATCATTGTACATACTTTGGTGATGTCAATGTGCCATGCACGCACTATATCCATCATTTTACTCATATTGGTGAATCCTGAATGTCCTTACTTAAAAGTTTCTTATTAGAAATATAATATATTGATTTCAAAATTAACAAAAAAATTATTCAAAATTTATGTCTACATAATTGATGCACAAATACCTTTTCTTCTCCATTTCCAACTACATATACTGTAGACCAAAGAAGTTTTGCATCTTGGCTAGTGACATAAAAACACAATCTGTTAAGATGAGAATATGGGAGTTCCAGTTTCAGGGCTTCTGCTCAGATCATTACACTAAACCTGTGGGTTATGTTCTAACAACTTACTGTCCATAGTTTATTCTCCTGAAGTGAATTGTGGATATTGTGCTTTTAAGGATTTTTTAAAGCTGTTTATTTTATAGTCTCAAGTAAAGTCACCTACCTTTATTAAAAGACCATTTAGTATTAATGTTATGATTTGAAAGACCTTTTGACAAGTGGTTTTAAGATAGAATTATATCAATACATCATATTCCCTGTGAATCTTGGAGATACATAAGTAATCTACAACAGTCTTTTAACTTTTTTAAAAACATGTACTTTTACATGTCCAAATATCTTCTATGCTCCTACAAATAACCAGAAGACTGAATAAGTTTATAATTAAGGTAAAGATTATCTCAGTCAGAAACTTAGATACTACTTTAAAATAATTCCAGTGCTTTTTATTCTGTAGATGTTTTTCAGATATCTCTATAACTTTCACAATTAATCTGGTCTGCCACATTACATAAGCTGTTTCACAAAACTGTGCAGAAAGTGATAAGGTCACTATTTAATATAATTCATTTTATGGTAATGATTAAAGGTTTATTCATGTTCTAATAACTTATGAAAGCTTTTAAAATAAAATATAATTTGTAGTTAATAACTATGGTATAAAACTTGGAACTTAGAAATAAAATAAATGAAATATATGGTTGAGTTTCTGAAATTTTTAAATCTAGACTGTACACATCTTTTATATTTCAAATTTATTAGCTTTCCTCTCAAATGGATAAACGATTTTTTAGCTTCCCACAAATTACCTTTAAAAGACCTATAATGTTGACAAATATTACAGGGTAGTAAATAGTTTATTAGTAAATTTTAAGGTTAATTTAAGGAAAGAAACCCTCTTTGAAATAAACAAATGTCAGGTTGACCATTTAACTACACAGGACCTTACTTATGTACTACTAGAATGGAAGACTAATCTCATCCATAAATCTTATGGTTTCTATTATTCATATGATCAAGAAAGCCCTGGTTTATATCACTAAATTCCTGAATAGTTAAGTTCTAACAAAAATTGACTTTATCATTTTTAATTCAGATATTTAGATACAAAGGCTTATTAGTCTCCTATTTATAGATAAAAGGAAATCTGACCTTTTTGGTTAAGAAATATTGTCAGTAGCCTTTATAAGTGCTTGTTCCTCTGAGGGTCCATGACAGGAGTACTCTTCCAAGTTGAGTTTATCCTAAAAATGAAATGATAAAAGCCTGCTTGTTATCTAAGATTCTTCTTAATGGGAGAACCACATGGTTATTCTTCATCTCCCACTTGTTCTCACCCTCTACAACCAACCCAGCCCCACCCCACCCCCACCCCAACATTGTTAAGTACTCAGCACAATGAATCATTTTCAAGTTGACTCATTGTGAACTGTCTCCCAGCTGTTGGAATGTCTGGCAGACATTTTTGTTTGGGTGAAGAATAACTGGCTGAAACCCAACCTGGATGAGTTTGATATAATAGTTTTTGCTAAAGAACTATTGAGAGGAACATGTTTATGGCCTCTGAAGCCCCTGTTATTCCTGGAGTAGGACCATCCCCTGTGGCATAGAACTGAAAATAAGGAATCAATCTGGATTATTTTCTCATCATTGAATGAAAAATTGCGTTAGAAAAAAATAGGGATTTCCAAATTACATTTGTTTTCTACACTTGGTACCCATATTATTGAAAGTATTAAAGACAATTAAGGGTAGCTTTTAACTGGCTTCTTTTAAGAGCACTGATTCAAAGGCTGAAACATTATACACACATTTCTACTCACAGATGGGTTTCAAGTACTGCTCTAGATGTGAGTTAACCCATCATTTAAGCATAATGTTTAGTGACAGAGGCTACTGTGTGAGTCAGGTAACATTAACCAGTCTTCTTTTATTTTTCATTTTTATGCAATCTTTACAAAAGGGCTTAAAATACAGAAGAATACTAGTAAGCTCAGTAGTCAGTCACGTTTTCAGAAAATGAACATATTTGATTATATTTGGACTTCTTATAGGGTACGTAGCATCTGACTGATAAATTTACATGGCTATTTTACATTATCTGTCCTTTCTTTAAAGATTATTAAGACATTAACCAATGTATACAATGGGAATTTCAAAGTTATAAAATTTTATAAACAACAGTTTTTTCAACTTATCTATATTACTTTTCAATTTTATCTTTAAGAGCAAAGTTTTTTCTAAGATATAGTATATAAAACAGTTTACTAACCTACCACCCTGTCAGGGGCTAAAGGAATACTGAATTTCCATTAAATAAAATAATTCAAGAAAGCCTACACAGTATTTAATGGTTATATTTTTATAACCGTGAAATTCTGAGTATTTTAGAACTTTTGCTACTTAAAATGTGACTTTTTTACAATATATTGTTTAGCAGTATTTTTATTTCATGTCAAGTTGTATTGGGAAGGAAAAGGTAGTCTTAACTAGTTTAGCACTAATCACCTACTATCTTTTCTGTGGTCCTTATCCCAGAGCCAAATAGCAGCATCTGGAAAGAGAACAGAAGACTCCAGAGCTAGCCATGCTGCAGCCTCTTAGCCTTCCATGCTTTTCTAGGATGATATAGAGGACCTCAGCTGTTGCAGGGCTGGGACCTGGTCCCAGTTGACAGATGATAGTGGGACCTTGCCTTTACATTATATTGAACCATCCATCTACTGCTTCTAAGTCCTAATGTGTATCAGATTTTCCAAAGGGCTATGGCTAAAGTAATTAGAAAAATAATAGTGTATGAGAAGAAAGATGGTCTTACCCCTTAAAACAGAAGTCAAAGTTTATGTTTTCTACCAAAAGTAAGGTATGCCCCCTCAGTTCTTCAAATTAAAAAAGTTTACTTTACATGGGTTGGAATTTTCAATTAAGGCTTGTTTTCAGCCTGGGGTAGCTTTAACTTTTAAGTTATGTGTCTATGTTTATAGTCTGTCTTCTCTACAATTGGTCATTGAGGTAGCATAATAATACTGTGTAAAAGTTATATTTGTAAGCATAACATGAATGTTTTGTTCCCTTGTTTTACAGAATAAAGCAATTCTTGCTCGTGTTACAAATTTGTCAGATACGGTAATTGGTTTGGAATCATTTATTGGTTCTGAGAGAGAAATCAACCCATTATATAAGGATTATCATGGTAAGCAGCACCTTTATAATGAGAAGAGCATGTCTTGTTGCCTCTAGGGTACCTGGAAGCATCTTGTCTAGTCATATCTACTGTCAAGTAGCAGAATTTTATTTTATATGTCTGTCAAATGTTTTCCATTCCTGGCCAACCTTCCATGGCAGCTTATCACCAAACTGCATTAAGACTACAGACTGCGGTAACTGTTTGAAAGGAGTTAAACCCAATACTAAAGTATGGCTCAATCAGATATAAATTTTGTTGCCCCAGTGGCCTAAAGTTGCCATGATATCAATTGTACTTATTAGCCATGTTTGAAATAAATGTCATATTAATTATAACAGCTTTGCACAGCAGTTTATACTTTACAGTGCTCTGCTGTATGATAAATAAAATTTACACCATATTTTAAAAATCCTAATCAATCAATTTTCAGGAAGTGAACATCTTTGATTATATATTTGGGTTTTTTTCTGTTTGATCATTTTGTTAGTTTGAGTTATGAACAAATTTTTAAATATTGCAACACTAGTATAAACACAAGTTAATTAGTCAGATGTTTTACTTACATTTTTAAGCTTTTTATAGTATTTTAGTCATTTGATTAATTTGGGGATATTTTTTAATAAGGGTTCTTACAAAGAACTATTGCAGTAGGAAAGGTTTAGTAGTTTTGCATATTCTAGCTCTAAACTGAATATAGAGTATGGTTAAAAATAAATTTTTTCCTATTTACTTATTCTGCATAAATATTATTATTGCTGTTATCATTATGGAGCTACTACAAGGAAACATCTAGTCCAAAGACTGAATAGTTTATTTGAACCTGCTACAAAATTGTGTAATTGTGATTGTAGGACTGTGGTAATTTCTAGAGTCTACAAAAGAAAATATTATAAGATATTTTATATGATAATCACCAGTGTTTTGAGGAGTCAGCATACAACTTTAAAACAAGAGTAAAATAGCACAATCCAACAAGTATTTTTTAAAAAACTATAAAACAGAAGCTGTGAACAAAAGCTACATAAAGTAATTTGCCTTGTGATCATTTACTTGCATAGTTGTACAAATGGTATATGCCCAAATTAACCCTCTATATAATTCACTTAATGTATTATTGTCACTATGATAGGAAGAGATCCATTAAGATTAAACTATTTCTTTTTTCCTTTCTAAAAAACTTTCATTGCATTATGATTGACATATAACATTGTATTACACTGTACAATATCAAAATTTAACAGATGGAAATATTATAAAATGATTACCACAGTTTATTTAATTAACATCTATAACCACACATAGTTACAATTTTTTTCCTAGTGATGAGAACTCTTAAGATCTACTCTCTTAGCTACTTTCAAATATATAATACAGTGTTGCTAACCATGATCACCATGCTGAACATTACATCCCCATGACTTATTTATCTTATAACTGGATAATTTCTTTAATTTAGTATTATTTTCATTTTCTTTCAAAATAACTCAAGTTAAATATTGCCTTAATAAATTATATCTGTTAATCATTTGTAAGTATTATGACTTTATAAATTTAGTAAAATTTCATATTCCAAAAAATACTTTTTATGCTGAAATCTCTAAATTAATCAATTATTCCCCACCAATTAATGGATGGTTCTGAAAGAGTAAATTTTCTATTAATAAGAAGGACCTCATGAATCATTCATTCATGCTTTAAGGACTCTTGATTTAATAGCTAAACAAGCCACATGCAAGTTTTAAATGAGAACTGTGCAAGTGAAAGTATGGTGTACTTATCTGATGTATTTTACTCAATGGCACTGTGTGAGATATTTTTAATTGTTATCTAAATAAATTCTCAGTAACATCTTTTACACCTTTTTAAGTTTAAAAAGCTGAATCAGACATTTTAGTGATTTTTGAAGGGGGATTTCTAAAGTTAAGCACCTGGAGGTTTACCCTGTAAGCTAAAACTAATGCATACATTACTATGTGCATTCAAATGTGCATTCAAACACACACAAAACTATATACCAGAGAAGCAGTTCTGTAAAAAAAAAGTTATCTGATTCATTCAAATGTAGATTTGTCTTCTTCTCCCATATTTAGGGAGATTTTTAAACATGAGCTAAATCAGACACAGAGGTACACTGAAGAATCTTCCATGTCTGTCTTCTTTTATGGCAAATGACCCCGAGTTTAGTCAGAAACTGCATTAAGCTGCACAAAAGCCATCCAATGCCCTTGTCAGAAAAAATTAGCAAGTGTTTCTACTGACAAGAGGCCAAAGCTCACGGTTTACCTAGCACTGTTACAAAGATTATAGCAGCTACATAAAGACCTAACATGCCACAGAAATGAGTTCTTGGGATGGCAAAGAGGTTAGTATTTGATTCTAGAGTATGCTCTGAAATGTAGTTTTCTTCAGTGGTTTGTTCAAGTCATTAATAAGGTACAAAATGAAATACTTTTCATTAGTGCTTCACTGGTTATCAGTAACCCATAAGCCTTGTTTTGCTGGCTGCTTACTGGTGCATTTAATAAAATAAAGATCACTCAGTGGTGCCGTGGGCAGCATGCAAGGTGATAGCCATATTTGCTTACTGTAAATACAAGAGAAAATCACACACAAACCGGCTGTAGTTTTGACAAGTATTAAGATCCCTCTTTACATCTGTACTTCTGTACCAAAGTGCAATTAGTTTTCCTCGCACAAGGATTTCTGTTTATCTTATTCTGCTTGATTACTTGAGTATAATCACACCATTTGCTTCATTGCTTCTGGTAGTAAGCTCCAGTTTTAAAAGGGGAGGATGCTTGTGTGTAAATTTGCAGGATTCTGCTGTTAGACTCTTTAATTTATGCAACCAAGAGAGCATTTTTAGTTTTTTTCTTTTAACTTCCTTTCCACAAGGTTTGATTCATATTCGGCAGATTCCTCGGCTTAATAACTTGATTTGTGATGTGTCAGATGTCAGAGACTTAGCTTTTAAATTAAAAAGGAAGCTGTTCACCATTGAGGTAAGAATTTTTATATTTTAGCTGACAGTCTTGAGGTAAATAGTATCTCTTTATATTTTAATTTTATTTTTACTTCAATGAAATTCTTAGAAGATGTTTCATGCTATGTTCTTTTGGTATAAAAAATAATTTTTAGACTATATTATTTGTTTCTTTTATTTTAATGGTATATCATTAGAAAATAGCAAAAATGATTTTGTTTAAGATGTCCATTAAAAGTAAGCTCCAAACTTAGATGATAAGTATGACATGCATATGTCTAAGACTTTGGAAAGCATATTTAATTAAATGTTAATGAGCTGTGCTTATTTGTGTGTGGGATGTGAATGCTTCCCACAACTGTGTATTGCTAAGAGAATACATTCTCTTGCTCTCTACATTCTAAAAGCACTTTTCTTTATACTATTAGTGAAATCACTTTTCTACTTTCCGTGCTGAATAAAACAAAGTATAATTTATATCAGTCTTTAAGTAAATTTTCTACAAAACTTCAACTTTTTTGTGACCTTTATGCAAGCAGTAGTGACAGAAAGTAGTAGTACAAAAGATTTATTTCAACTTAATCTTGCTAAAGAGCAAATGAACATAGCACTATTAAGCAATTAGGGTTGATGTATTTATTAACGAAATAAATGCTCAGAGAGAGATGGCTTTTGGGTGATGTGATAGTTATCAGTATAGTCAGTGCAGTTTTTTTAACAAAGACATAAAACAGCCAGGCAGCCTTGACAAACCATTTTGTTTAATCTCTTTTCAAATGAAAAGCTCTAAGCAGGCCACTTGTCTTAACTGCTTGAAACCATAAAAAGAGAGAATTGCCACCAATAAATTAGCATATTTTTAACTTCATCACCAAATGATGGTCAATGTGGCTTGGCACTGCTTTGGTGTTTGGGACTTCACCCTTAAGTGACCATTTTGGCCCTTTTTTGACCCTCTGCCCTCTTTAGTTGGCCACTTGATAAGGTAACTTAATGGTTCTCTCTCTTTTTTTCTTTCCCTTCACATTTGCTAGTAGCACTAACCTATAAATCATTGTAAGGGCCCTATCCAGTGACAAATTAATGTGCCCTCCTCCTAATTAATGGTCATCAATGTCCTTAATTATCTAATCCTATTGAGAGTAGTTAATAGTTAATCAGGCAGCCAGTTCTTCAAGCAGGTCATCTCTGCAGGAGTGTTAGAAGTTTCTCATCTGAGGGTATTCCCTTCAAAAGCCACTTAAAGCCAAAAGAACGAGAGTGTAGAAATACTGTTTCTTGAGCTAATTTGCTTTAGTTCTCAAAAGAAACCATTTCCATGGAACCCAACACTGTAATTACTCAAACAAATTTCAGTTTTTCTAACAGAATATTGAGAAATTAACTATAATATTGATTAAAACTTTTAAAGGGATTAATTTATAGTTCTTAGTATTACAAAGAAAGCATGCCCCTTCATTTTATTTTAAATTGGATTTGTATTTTTGATGAAAGATGTGACTTATTCTCCATGTGACATCTTTCTCCTAAGATGAGTATTCCAATGGCCAGGTCTTAACATCTATCAGCATACAAATGTAGCAATGATATTCCCTACTGAAAAACGCATTACACCCAGGGAAAAAAGTAGCACAGTAGTGTGAATCATGTTTATTCTGTCTCTCTCCTCCTCTCTTTCTATCACACACAAGCACATACTGGGTCTTATTTGGGGATGAAGGGGTAAAAATAAAGGACTTACATAACATCAAGTGGGACCTCTCCTTTGAATAACTTTAGGTTGTAATATTTTACACCTTACACTTGCTACTGATAAAAGATCTTTTATTAACCACATAGATTCCTGTTACATTTCCTCTCTTCTTCTCCCCACAATGCAAAATAAGAGAGCCATTTTAATTGGTCACCCTGTGGTTTGGAAATAATATTTGAAAACAAAACACAAGTAGATCGTTATTTTTTTTAAAAGTTAGGGTTCAATTTAGTAAATCAAATCCTTTACCTTTTTGGCTTGTAACCCAGTCAATAAGGTTTTTCTTAATATCTAGAAATATAGATGAAATGCATTCTAAATAACTTATTTACTTATGCCATAAACTTCAATTTTATAATTAGAAAAAATATAAGTTAAAGGATCAAACTGAATAGGAGTACAAATAGGTATAATTATAACAGGATAAAATCATGTGGTTCAAGTAGGATTAAATGTTTTAAATATAACACTGTAGAATATACAATGCATATCCAAACAGATAGCAAATTTTTGGTGATATTTAAACTGGAAATGAGAGGATTTCTTTATTGGGAGAAAAATAATCAAGTGGCAAGTTTTGATATGCACAATGAATAAATGTGTTTTTTAAACTGTCTTAATATTTTAAAAAATGTAAATGTACACTATATTAGTCTGTAAAGTCTGAGGCTATAATATACCAGGCATTGAATCTGTGTCTTACTTTGAGAAGGGGAAGGTAATTTAGCAGGTAAAGCAGAAATAAATCTTAAGGTTACACGTTGGAATGTAGGGTCAGTCACATGGTCTCAAAAGTTGTCAAGGTCGGAAACAATGGGCAAAAGAAACAGGCAAACACCCTCATCTCTATTTTTAGGGTAGCATTTCTTTGATTTATTAAATCATCACTCTTTTTATATATGAAAACTGAAATTGTTTTACTAATAGCCAGCAAGGGCCTCCAGCTGGTAGAACAGATTTAGCTAGTAATCCCTGATTTCTCTGAGTAATTTGGAGATGACGAAAGAATATTTCTTCTGTCTTGGAGTGTGGGTTGGAATTGTCCAGATTCAAGTGGAAACATTTATCTAATCACAGTAAATTTTTACTAATACCTAGTATTCATCAACTATGAAGCTCTATAAATTAACCCCTCTACAAGATCATAACAGAATCATAGCTACAGTAATGACACTAAAATCTTGCCATGCTTTCTGGGTAAATAAAATAAAGTTTAAGGTTGATTCAGTATGGCTTCAAGTTAAAAGAAATAGCTCTCTAATTCTTTGAAAACTGATAATACTTATAAACTGTACATGGTAACTCTCTAGCATATTTGATTAACTAGTATAATACTTATTCCTTGGCCTTACCACTTAATCTTGATTTGATCAAGCAAACTTAAACTGTACATGGTAACTCTCTAGCATATTTGATTAACTAGTATAATACTTATTCCTTGGCCTTACCACTTAATCTTGATTTGATCAAGCAAACATTCATTAAACCTTTAGTATGTACCAGGCACTACACTGGCTTATTTGTATTTCAATATAGTGATTAAATACTTTATAACAAAAGACTTTACTAAGATATAATAGTAGACTCAACATACATAAACTGTCTTTTTTATCTTTGTATTTATCCCAGATCTAAGAAGAGAGTCATACACTTCATAGGTATAAAATCTTTCCTTAAAGATATGTAATATAGATAAATTATGGGGTTTAAAAACAGTCCAAATAATACAGCTATAAATACTACATAAGCTCCACTGTCAAGTAACCTATGAACAGTTCCTTCTCTGTTAAGTTCTTTAAGATGTGTAATTTGGGTACATAGCTTCACTTCCAAGCTGAAATAGCTATTTAGACATATTTTTTCAGTTTCTATAATTTTTGCTTCTCTAATGTTGGGATTATCCTTAGCCAATTTTGTCTTTATATATAATTATGATGTAATTGTACATAAACAAGTTAAGATTTGGTAGGATTAGAAATGTGCTGCATTTAATTTGATGATGTAACAGCAGCATTTTTATGTGCATTTAATATTATTTGCTACTTTGATTTTGTATTGTTCAGCTTGATCTTAGCATTCTAATTTTCTAATACAAATGATAATAACGTATTTTTACATTATTTGCAATCTCTAGTAAGGTTATTATAAACAGTTTCTGCTTTGGCAGTGGGACAGTTATCAACTCTAAGATCCAGTCTTTCTAAGTTTAAGTCAGAAAATATGGTTGTTGGGTCACACTGAAATATATAAAAGACATACACTGTTCACAGCAAATTTTCAATATAAAGATAAACAATACTAATGTAAGCTTTCATTGGTCCTAAAGTATTTATTATAAGTAGTATATCTGTGTAGGTCTTGTACATTAAATGAGTATTGAGAATTCAGAAAATCAAAGTAAATCAAGTTTATTCAAGGTTGTCTTGTAATACTTGCCCCTAGCTCAGAATACAGGACCTCAGTATCTCTCCAATCACCAAGAACTTTTTCTCACAGAATAATTGATCAACCGTTATTAATTAACTGTTATTTTTTATACTTACTTAGAGGTTCATTCATAAGTGTTAAGACCAGAATAGCATATACCATCAGTATAAATAAGCTTTATATAATGTTACCATATACTTGATGTGATTGTGTAGAATTATTGTGTAGAATTATTTGAAATTTTTACATATTGGAAAACCATAAATTCTACAAGGGTGTCAGTCACAATGACAATGTCAGACAATCTAGAGTATTGCGTATCTTTGTTTCTAGGCTTCCTTACTTCCCTACATATTTTTTCAACAGCCTTTCCATTTTTAAAGTAGAAAGTTAAAAGAAATAGCTCTCTAATTCTTTGAAAACTGATAATCCTTATAAACTGTACATGGTAACTCTCTAGCATATTTGATTAACTAGTATAATACTTATTCCTTGGCCTTACCACTAGAAAGTAGAAATATTACTATATGTTTACTATATCTAAAGATAGGGAGGAGAGATGGTAATTATTTGTCAGTTCACAATTATGTTACTAAAATAAAATAGTGAAAACATAAATATCTGGCTCAGGAGCATTCTTAAATTGTAGCATAATGGACCATACAACCCAGTATACTTTTTGTGATAATGATGCTCTCCACAAATATTACTTAGTACTTCTATTCCTGGATATACTGCAGTTAGCAAAAGAGAATCAAAGTGGAACATAGAATATATTCTATATATTAGAATATATTTGTCAAAAGTAAACCCAGATTAGCATTCATTAACAATGGAAA